TCAGGGTGCGGTTTGACACCGTCATCATTCGTCATCATCATCAGGGTGCTGCTCGTCATCATCGTCATTATCACCGTCATCATCAACAGGGCGTGGTTCGGCAACATCATCATGGTAATGGTTCGTCGTCAGCATCAGGCGTCATCACCATCGTCAGGCGTCATCACCATCATCATCATCAGGGTGCTGCTCGTCACCAACATCAAGTTATGGGTGGCGTCATTATCGGCGGTACTTATCATGATGATGATCATCATCATCTTGTCTTCATAGGGCGCCACTGACGTTGCTCATCATCATCATCATCATTGTCATAATGTCAATATCATTGCCATCATCAATACCTCACCTTCATAAGGCGCTGTTGGCGAAGCTTGTTTGTCATAGGGCGCAACTTACCCTTATGGGCGTCATCATCATCATCATCATCATCATCATCATCATCATCACCATCATCATTATCATCATCATCGACATCATTCTTCAGTACGATCAGCATCATCATTCTGTCATTACTATCATCATCATCATTTTTGTTATCATTAGGTGTTGCGGTTCAAGGATTTGTTTCTCTCACATCAGCAGGTGAGTTTGGTCGTCATCAACATCATCTTCAGGATGATGTTTATCACCATCTGCAAATTCAAAAAAAAAAAAAAAACTCTTATCTACCTCTCTCTCCATCATAATTTTTAGAAATTTCCAGTTCTACCATATATTTTAGGGATTCGATCTGATGGATGTGCTTCAGTCGGGATAGGGCTTTTGTGGTCACGGTTGGGACTCTTGGGGGAAGGGTGGGGGTGGTATTGGGGAGCCTTACTCTACAGGGGCGCTGCAAGGTGGGAGGTGGCTGCCCTGTCGGGGGTGGGGCAGATTTGTGGTTTGTCCTTGTCTGGGTCCGGGGTGGGAGAGTTGGTCGCCTTCAACCCGGGCGGGGGCAGATAGGGACAAGGGGAGGGCGAAGGTATCCYCTAGGAGGGAATTGGCTGCCTTTGCGGAAGGGGGGGAGGAGGGGGTCTGTTCCAGGTTGGGGCCGAGGAGGTTTTCCTCGGCGGTGGCAGCATGGGACAGTGGGCAGGGGGAAATTTCTCTGTGCGGTGACTTTTGGAAGCTTCCTGGATCGGATTTCTTCTGTTATGCCTGGTAGTTTGAAGAATTTCTCAGGTGTCTGAGGGTTTGCCAGTGGGTTATACGAAGCTGCACTGGATTTAGACTGTTATATTCAGGATTCGTGGTTGTCCAATGCCAGAACGACGCTGGCCGGAGCCGGGGTGATGCCCTGTAACTTGCCGAAGGTGAGGGCATGAGGCCTTGTAGAGAGATCTGGGGATGCTATGCGGGGGGCATCCAAAAGGACAGCTGGGGGTTGCTGACACAGGACGACACTGGCAGGAGCTGGAGTGAGTCGCGCTGCTCTGTAACCTAGCAGTTAGGGGGCGTGAGGCCTGGTTGAGTTTGTCAGAGAATAAGTCAGTTTCGGTGAGCTTTGTTAGGATCTGTTGGAAATCCATTAGATACTTGAGTTTTTTGGAAAACTGTTGTAGGCTTCAGGAGGTGCTTAGAACCGTTGATATAGCATAGTCGCTTTTATATACTAATCATCATCATCATCATCATCATCATCATCATTATCATCATCATCATCATCGGAATTACTATCTTACACTTTTCTAAGAATCACTAGAAGTCCATCATCACTAGCATCACCATCATCATCACATGAGGGACGCTGAGCCCGGTTCTCAGCATGTTCGGTTCGGTTACTCCGGATAGACTGCGAGGACCCCGGCCTCAATCTTCATTTGAATAAAAAGTTTTTTCAAAAAAAAAAAAAAAAAAAAAAAAAAAAAAAAAAAAAAAGAGAGCACATGAGGCAGAGAGATAGAACAGTGTGTGAGAGAGAGACCATAGTCATGAGGGACGCTGAGCCCGGTTCTCAGCATGTTCGGTTCGGTTACTCCGGATAGACTGCGAGGACCCCGGCCTCAATCTTCATTTGAATAAAAAGTTTTTTCAAAAAAAAAAAAAAAAAAAAAAAAAAGAGAGCACATGAGGCAGAGAGAACAGTGTGTGAGAGAGAGACCATAGTCACCATATCTTGGACTAATGTGGGCTGGCTGGAGGCCATAGCTGCCCAGCATGTTCGATTTGTGTTATCGAGTTGATTGGCAGAGTCTATCTTCCAGCTCATATCTCACGTGTGTTCCGTGTGTGTGTGCTTCTCTGTGTGAGATTGGTGTATTGTTGGTCTCAAAGCACAATGGCATCATCTGTTACTTGAGCTCTTGCTATGTTGCGGGTTATTCTGTGGCTGTGGCATTATCTTGCTTGCTACTGTTGCCTGGAGAATTGACTGTGATGGTTGCATATTCTGTCCATTTTGCAGGACAGCAACGGCAAAGTGGGGGTTATGAATTCGAAACAAGGGTTTGAGGCTGGGAAAGCACAAACAGATCTCCTCGAGTGGCTTGGTGACGAAGTCAATTGCTACATGAATGATGTCATCGACAAAGTCGAAACGGTGATTGCAGCCTATTATCCGCCTTTCATCACTTTTTTTTTTCTTTTTTTTTTCTTTTTTTTTTTTCTAATTCCCCCTTCTATTCTGGGGGCCTCAGTCCGGTTGCTCATCACTGGCAAGCATGTTTTTACATCTGAAAAGAGGAAAGGGGGAGAACAGACTAGACAGGGGACCAGCCTGTCCCTTGTGGCCCTAGACGCCTGGCAAGGGGGGACTGTTTTGGAGCAACCCTCTCCCCTATCCTTAGCCTTTCAGGGGGGCTGCCCTACTGGCCAGGAAGCTTACTGGCAGCACCCAGTCACGCAGTAGGGCAGCCCTCAGATAGTCAGGGTGCGCGGGGGGTGCTCCTAACAGTTCCTCAGGCCGCTTAACATCCTGTTACCTGTTTCTAATATCCCTTGTCGCAAATAGACCCTACATTGCCTATGTCTGAAGCCCGTATCTGGTTCCAGCCTATTCCCCTGTAGTTGCATGTCCACCTATCTGGCTCCAGCCTATTCCCCTGTAGTTACATGTCCACCTCTACCTGACTGTTCTCATCAGAACGTGTTCCGCTTACCTCTTATGTCTTTACAAACCATAATAGGCCCTCCTACCATCGCACATATACATCCAGATCGTGTTCCACTTATCCCTAACATTTATACAAGCCATAATAGGTCACAGTCCACCCAGTGGCACCCACTTATTTTAGTAATGTTTCATGTTTTCTATCTTTTTACAGTTTCTTGCAGTATCTCCCGTCCACCCCTCGGTCCCCTCACCACCCTATTCCCCCATACTTCTTCAATTCCCTTTACTACCCTCCCCCTAGGCCCGTAGTCCCCCCTACACCTTCCCCTGCCTCCCCCTCCCTCCTAATGTTGCCCTATCCTCTATAATAATTCTGGTGTCCACCGGGTTTCATCACACCTCCTACTCATCTAACTACTGTACAAATCGGTTAACTGCCTTTCCTATCCTTCCCCGGGCTCGTCCTCCTCCTCGAACCGGGGCACATGCCGCAACAGGGCGGGGCCGAATCAGTTGCGGGTATGGGCCCCATCTCGCCCAGAAGCCTTCCGCCTTCTGCGATCCTAAATGGTTGCATCTATGCAAGTCCGCCTGAAGGGCAGTTCTAATACATTCCAAAGCCCTTTCCTTATATGCCTGCAGAGGGGGGCGCTGTTCCCTGTCGACATCTCTCGTTCCGCAGGGTCCATAATGCCCACAGCACAGACACTCGCAGAGTCTCTGCCGCCATCATAGTTCCCGGGTTTACCCTGTCCACTTTTACGAGTGTCCCTAAGACAATAGCTGCATCGTCTGTTTCCATGACCTCTAGCGGGGACTTACCAACTAACTCCTGTGCCCACCATTCCCAAAAGGCCTGGACTGTTGGGCATCGCACAAACAGGTGGGTCATAGTTTCTGTTTGTCCACACCCCGCGGTGCAACTCTGGTCCTTATATCTATTTTTAGTTTCTATCAATTGTGTCGTGGGGATTGCCAAGTCATAAATTTGCCACAGCAACCCCGCCTGCTTCTGGTCCGGCAATGAGGCTAGGATAGCACATTGTTGATTCCATCTCCACTGAGTCCACCTGCTGACATAAACGTCCGGTATCCAGTCTGTCTTGGCCCACCGATTCCTCAGTTCTTCACAGATGTCTACCGGCTCCAACAAGGAGTTGTAGATATTTTTAGTGGTGAGCTCCTGGATTTGCACTGCTCTCCTTAGCATCTTCTGTGCCACCCACTTCCACTCCCTTTGTGACGGGTGTGAGGCTGAGGGAGAGCCGAGGGAGAGCAGAGAGAGAGGGAGAGAATGAGAGCACACACACACACTCACTCACTCGACACGACTGAGGGTCGGACGCAGACACAGTGGCAAGGCACAAAGTCGAAGTCTTGGATTCCGAATGTCGAAACAGCAAGTCACACTGAGTACGAGTTAAGCAGTAGAAAACTGGTATGAGACTGGTCCCCGTACCGTACGGGGAGCGGGTACAAGTACCAGTGACACGTACGGTACCAGGGGCATTTCTGCAAAGGCCCCGAGGGCAGAACTGAAAAATGCGGTATTTGAAAGTGGCGCCCGAATTGCAGCATGGCGCCAGTTGTCCAACATCCTACGGTACCAAAGGAGGGGTTTGGAAAAAGGGTGCCAGGCCGAAAACGGGATGCAGCCGAAACAGCAAAAAGATAGACCAGGGATCGAGCCCTGGCGGAGTCCGTAACACTATCCCCTCCCTCTAGAAGGCAACGTCCCGGCTGCCAAAAATCATGAGGCAATGCTGAAATCTGTGAAGGACGGAACGGGGCCGATCACTGGTTAACAAGTCGAAAGGGAAGAGGGGTATAATGTGGGTGGCATGGGCAGCGTGAGTAAGAGGGAACAGGGTTTGGTACCGGTGAACAGAGTTGTCCTACTGATGAACTAGGGGGGTTGCAGGGAACAGGGTAGTCCTACAAATGAACTATAGGGACGGCAGGGAGCAGGGTAGTTCTACTGATGAACTAAGGGGATTGCATGGTTTGCTATAGGTTAAGGGGGAACAGAGTTCAGGGAACAGGGGACTTCTATTGAAGTTCTACTGGGTAAGGGAAACAATGGTCAGGGGAACAGGGGATGTCTATCAATGTTCTAGTGGGTACGGGAAACAATGGTTAGGGAAACAGGGATCTGCTAATGATGTTCTACAGGGTTGTCAAAGTTGGAAAAATAAAAATGAAAATGTTTGTTCAGGATGCAAAGGCGGGTGTGTCCGAAGGAGTCGGAAGCAGAATCTCACGTAGGAACAAAGTTTCCAAGTGTCTTGAAAGGGGGTCTGCAGCGGTCTTGATCAGGTCTTTGGAGTAGGTGGTAGAAGCGGTCTTCAGCAGCTGCGATAGGTAAGAAGTCCAAGAAGCGTAGTAGTAGTTCACGTGTCAAAGTCCAAGTGCTAGGGTGCGTCCGGTACACGAACTGCAATGAGGTCTGATCTGGAAGCAAGGAAGTCGCAGACTGTTGAAATGATCCAGTAAGTCCGCGAGTCGGGATGGCGGCCGATGAAACAGCATGGTGGCCAAACCAGCTGCATAATCTCCATGAACAGTGAGGCAGCAGGCCATCGTCGTCGTGCGCTTGCCATTAGATCCTTTATCGCTAGCGTCACGCAGGTTCACAAGCATTGGACAAGAGAGACAAGGTAGTGGAGAGGAGGACAGATGGGACAAGGCTTGGCGAGGGCAAGGGCAGATCAGACATCAGGAATGAGGGTCAAGGGGAGGGTGGACTGGGTTCAAGGGTGTGTGTAGAGCGGGGTTGCGAGGTTGTAGCAGGGTTTATACAGGGGTTTAGGGRWGGRTTGSGAGAGACAGGGGGACAGTGTTCAGGKGGGGGGGGGGGCGCGGCTGTCGCGGTGGAGGAAGAAGTGGGAGTAGAAGGGCCGAGTCCCGTGGAGCGAGGGGCCTGTCGAGTAAAGYGGCTAGCGTTGGGGCAGTTGGTCTGTTGATGACCTAACTGGCGGCAGCGAAAACACCCGTTGTGTTCTTGGAGGTATATGCGTTATGCGGGTATGAGTTTGTGGAGGCGACTGGGTGGAGAGGAAGAAGGCAGTCGGGAGGCACGATCCTGGCGTTCCATCCGTATAAGGTGGGAGGTCCGGAGGTCCTCAATGGTGAATTGGGAGGGGTCGAGAGAGGCAGTGTCGAAGTCGTCATCGGAGGTGGGTTGAGTGGTGTCGTTATGGAAAAAGAGGGGTCGGGAGGGAGCGGGCGCGGACTGGTGATTGGGGTGGAGTCGATCGTGGTGAAGCATGCGAGAGAGGAGGTCAGCAAGGGGCATGTCGGGTTCGTGGGCGAGGGCGGTTGCAAGATCTTTGTGGCATACTCGCTTGATGCGGGAGATGAACACAAAGTCGGGAATGATGGTGGTGGGGAGGTGATGGCGGAGGGAGCGGATGTATTGGACGAAGCGGTCTGTGGGACCGGTCTGGCGGAGGTGGCAGAATTGTTTGAGGTAGTCATCAATGGTTTTCTGGGGGCGGAAGGTGGCAGTGAGAAGTTTGGCCCATTGGAGGAATGAGTGACGAGGGCCTTCCAGAGGCTCGCCGGTTGCCGACTTCAGCCATCCACCATTTGGCGGCATTGCCGAGGAGGCGGAAGGTGGCAATGGGGAGCCAGTGGGCAAGGGGCATGTGGTGGAGGTGAAAAGAGTTCTGGAGCAGGGTTAGGAAGAGGAAAACGTCCTCATGGGGGAGGCCAGAGAAGGACATGATTTCGCCAGATCGGAAGGAACGGGGGATTTCCCCATCGGGGGAAACGATCTGGGCGAGGGTGTTGAAGCTGAGGTTATCGGGGGTGGTGTCGTAGCATGTGTACTCGAGTTGGTTGTTGTCCTCAAGGAGGTCGTTGGGGGGGAGTTGTGGCATTGCGGGGTAAACCCTGGAGGTGACTTGGGAATAGGTGGGACGGATGGTGGGGATGGTGGAGGTGGTCATGATGGGTTGGGAGAGGGTTTGGGAGTGGGGGGGGGAAGAGGGGTGACGTGGATGGGCGAGGAATGAGGGGATGTGCTGGATGCGCCGGATGAGGGAGGAGGTGGAGGAAACGGAACGGTGGAGGTTGAAGGGTTGGTGGATGTGGTGGTAGAGGTGGTAGGAGTGGAGGAGGTCGGTGGGGGGGTGTTGCTGGAGGCGGCTGTGGAGGAGGGAGTGGTTTGCGTTGTGGAGGAGGTGGTTTGCGCTGTGGAGGAGGGAGTGGTTTGCACTGTGTAGGAGGGAGGTGCAGTCGTGGTGACGACCATGATGGATGGGATGGTCCCTTCGAGCGTGGTGACGCGGTCGCATATGGACGACATGTTGGGCTTTATGTCGTCGAGAGAGGCGATGACGGAGGTTTGGAAGGTGTCGAGTGCGTGGAGGATGGTGGAGAGGTCGGGGGTGGCGGTGTTTGCTGGTGGTTGTTCGCCTGTGGGGTTGCGAGCGATGCTATCGACCGAGTCGGTGCGGATGTCAGACATGTTGATGGAGGATGTG